GAAATAGCTTGGACTTACCTTTGATTTTTGACAATTTTTTTGTTCGCGCATTTTCTTCCGTACAAAGTATTTTCGAAATTTTTTTTATGAAGAAAAAAAAAAAATTTACCAAGAATCAACGGAAAGTGCTAGGTACGTTAAATTTGCACTTTGAATTGAATCGGCTATAAAACTGCATCCTCAGAATCTTTCTAAGGAATCTGATTAAAAAGCTCAATATTTTGATGAAACTTTGTCGAATTCAGCTCATTTTTGTACAGCGTTTGAAATTTTGATGTACATGGTCTTTGTTAGAAAACGAGCTATAAACAATATTTAAAACCAACTATTTTTCAAAGTTAGATAAAATGTTACAATAATGTGAATGTCAAACAAAATCAGTTCAAAAACCATTTATTTCTAAAATAATTTTAAAGAGGTGCCACCTTTTCATATACTTAAAATCAATATAATTAACTATTTAAATCAAATATTTTCGTATTGGTACCAAATGAGAAATGTTAAAGACAAATTCATTTCTGTTAAGAAATTCAAGTACAGTTTACTTAAAAGGTTAAACCAAATATTTTAATATGGGTATCAAACAAGAGAGGGTTAAGAAAAGATTTCTTCCGAAAATAGTTTTAAAGAGTAACTCTCTTGCGTTTAGAAATTTAAAACTCCCCTAAACCTTGCGAGTCGGGATACATCAACTTGGAACATTAGCAAATAGTGGTGGCGGGGTTATGTTGCAAAAGTGCAAATTAATAGTTTCGGACGAATGTACGATGTCACACAAGCATGCAGTCGAGGCACTCGATCGAAGCTTGCAAGACATCCGCGGCAGCCGTTTGCTGATAGGTGAAATAGTCATAATGTTCGCAGGAGATTTTCGGCAGACGCTACCTGTCATCGAGCGTGGCACTGCGGCAGGGGAGATAAGTGCGTGCATCAAGGCTTCGCCATTGTGGGCAAATGTGGAAATATTGAACCTCACTACCAACATCCAGTTATAGAGAGTTCGGTCTCTTTGCTCAAGACCGCCTTGTTGTTGTTGTTGTCAGTCGTTGTCGTCAAGTTCCACTAACGCAACCCTAGGAAGCGTGCAGCTTCTGTGGGGTTTGTCCACAGGGACAAGGCCGTTAGGGTTGTCGGGTTTTCCGGGCATGCGAAGAGATGTTTCGAGTCGTGTGGGGTCTCTCCGCATGCCGGACACTCATTCGGCACATCTCATTCAACCTACTCAGGTAGGAGTTCAACCTACTGCAGTAACCGGAGCGAAGTTGTGCAAGTGTTGTGCGTGTCTCCCGAGGCAGATGAAGCTCCGTCTCGTCTATGTCCGGGGGTGGTATGCCTAGAACGGCATTCACAGGTCTAGAGTCTACATAACTCGAGACTGAGTCCCTGTGAATGCCGTTCAGGGCCTGTCGGTACGCTGTGGGGTCCAGAGGTTGCTTAAAGACCCCCTGGGTAGAGATCGGTGAGATCCGCATTGCAAAGTACCTGGTGAGGCGATCACATACATGTCTGTTGATGCAGTGATGGCGAATGGGGATGCAACTAAAGACGGGCGCGGGACTAAATATTTAATGCCGATCCCGCCCATCACGTTGTTTTTCAAAATTTTACCGCGGATCCCGTGGGTTCCGAAAACTATCATTAAGAAAAATTCACATGTCTTTCAAACTAATTTTAAATAATCAAAAAAAAAAAAACAATCCGATTATTTTGTTTGGTTTGCTGTTCGTTTTCATCTTAATAAAGAATAAAAAAGTCCATATTTCATTCATCGGAAGGAAAATTTTTTGAATTTTCGGAGGTTGTGATTTCATTCTGATGAAAAGCTGCTGGTAGTTTCTGCGGGAAAAATTTTTGCCAGCAGCCATTTGCCAGCAAGAAAAACATCTGATCAAAGTCATCTGTTTTCAATTTATGAAAATATGGAAATTTATATTAGATTTAGATTTAGATTTATTATTATGATTTTTAAGTTTGAAATAACTTATTAGAACTGCAAATATATCGGAAGAAAGCAAATGCTCATTTACTCATGTTTGCTTAGCAAATTGCTTTAGGAAAACTTTTAATTTATTGTATTCATGTTTTCTGTTTTATGCTTTTGTATGTTAACAAAATTTCGATCAGCTGTACTAAAAACTTGCAAGTTTTTGCTAGTTTTGCGTTCGTGTACTTTTTTTTTACATTTCTCTCTTTGAGAGAGAACAGATCATTAGAATTTTGCTGCTGAGAGTTTTCTGCTGGAAGAATACGCGAATACACCTAATTAGATTACTAATCTACATTTTATTTTCTTTCAAAGGGCAGACTTCAGATATTAGTTTGCTATTTGTGACCAAAATTAATGAATATTGTCCCAACATTCTACTCGCTTTACCTTGGCTTCTTACCAAGAATCAACCGAAAATTTTCAAAAATAAAGTTGTGTGAATCTTTCTATTGCAATTTGGACATTGCCCGATATGTAAAATCCATACATATTTATATGCATCACTTAGCTACAATCGGCATTGTATTTTTATACAAAGAAAGAGAAATTTAAGTATGTATGTATGTATTTTCATTGCTCACCGGAAATGTTCTCCATGCATTTGAATGCCATTTTGCTTTCGTTGACTTTCTTGATTGAGCCCGGTTGCAGTGCATTGGCCAATTTGCATAGCAGTACACCATCCTTAAGCACTTCAAAAAAGTTGTCCATATCACCGGCTGTGTTGATGGGTTCACCAGTGACGATCTTGATCCACTCTAAGCATTCTTGGGCCAGCTCTTCGCTGTATTTTGAGTTGATCTGGAAATATAAGAGGAAGCAAATATTGAATACAATAATTATATATACATATGTAAGTATATGTGTGTATGTATCTTTGTAATAATTTTTACAACAAATTTATAGGAGTTTAACTTTGATTGACAAGCAAATCGAAACCTAACCTTATTTTGATACATCTTTTTGCTCAACAAGCTGATATGTATTGAAACGATCCTATGTGGACAAAGTACAGTAGACTTATGAATCAAGAAAATTTGCCATAAAGCAATTGTGTGGGCAGTTTAGAAGAAATTTCGCAAATTAGTCGGCATAGAAAAATGGCTTACATAGAAGAGAGAATCTGTACAGCGCTCTTTGTTGTTTCATTATCATTAGAGCAATTGCTATCGAAAATTGCGCTTATCAATGTGATAAGATTGGTGATGTTGTCGATTACTCGTGTTGTGCGCTTTTATTATTCTTTGTGCATACTATTGGTGCATTGTAGGCACCTCGTCGTTGTGGCGAACCTCGTCCCGTCCAAAATGATTTTTTTTTATTGAAACTTTTAGGTCCAACATTTTCACCAACAATTCACGTCTACGATTTTCATTGGCACATTCATTTGCTAAGATTTATGGTTTGGTGGTCATTTGCCGTTTTAAATAACCTAACGAAAGTGTTATGTCCGTGAAGAAGCTCTTGAAATTCTCCAATTGTGCAGCATTTCATAGCACGGTTAATCGCAAAACGAAATAAATTTGAAGAACTTTTTCCTCTTCACTCCCTGGCGAAAACAATGATCCGGGGTTCTATAGTGAATCTGTTCTAGAAGCTTTATAGTATAGTTAGTGGCAATTTCAAAATGGATGCGTAACATTGTTCTAAAGGATTTCAGACAAAATACCTTAAAAGCATAATAATATTGGAAAATCACATCCATTGGGCTAATCGTAACATAGGAGAGTTCGATATGCACAATGGTGCAACAGGTCAATTTATTCGGCACTTTTTCTCACTTGGCGATTTTTAGCAATAACTCGACTCCAGCGCCACCTGCCAGCACTTTTTTGCAATAGTATTGCTCTTACCGTTACCAATAGATTTTTTAAATATTAGCCAAATCGGATCATAAACAAGATTTTTAGTAACAACTCAACGATAGCGCCAACTATCGGGTTAAATTGAGAAACTAAATCATCCAGAGACCAACACACAGACAAAATATTTCGTCATAATCCGGACACCTATTTAGGAGGATTCACTCACAAACACACCTACAAAGAATTATGAATGCATTCAAAGATAGCCAAAAGTCGATACGTTTGTAGGTCTTACGCCCCCATTTCAAATAGCCCCATTTTTCTCCATGAGTATGGGCTTGATTTCATATACATACATAACTCCATACGAAGTTCCAGTACTGTACCACGAACACTTTCAGAGTTATGCAGTATGAAAAATTCGGTTTGTATTGGGAGGTGCCACGCCCTCTTTTCCCATAGTTCCAATTCTTCTTCATGAGTATGCAATTCATTTCATATATCTCCATACCAAGCTCCAGTACTCTACGTAGTAGGAGAATTCGGTTTGTATGGGAGTTGCCACACCCCCTTTTCCAATAGCTGCAATTTTTCTCCAAGAGTATGCGATTGTTTTCATATACCGCAATACCAAGTTCCAGTATTCTACCATGAACACTTTCAGAGAAATTCAGTATGAAAATTTCGGTTTGTATGTGAGGCGCCACGCCCCCTTTACATATCGAAATTTGTTTAGCCTATAACCATCCTTGGGACGTGTGCGGTAGGTGTCCGAAACTTCAAAGAAATCGGTTCAGCCGTTCTCGAGCTTTGCGAACACAAAAAAAACGGCTTTCGAAATATATATTAGTATAGATGCGCATATACCAGTGTCTGTGTTATGTTGTGAATGTGTGCGCTCCAATGCATAGTTTTCCGATTAATAATTTTTTTAAATTTCTCTATAGCTCATAAGTATGTACACACATATCGCACACCATCTTCAAAAGAGTCACAACTCAAAATTTGGCATTTTTGAAATTATGCGCCAAAAATGTACACAGAGCTTTTATTTACCTTTCAGCAAAAGCTGGAGCAAATTTTTATTATAATTTGTTACAGAAACCTAAGGTAAAGTCGCCCTTGCCCATATGATTAGCATGTGCTACGAAATAGTTTTTCGCATTTTCTGACGAACGTATTATTTTGAGTTGTGACTCTTTTGAAGACGGTGTGCGATATGTATGTTTTGTGCGGCACCTATGATTCATAGATACATACTCCAATTTACAGTTATTAGCAACATAGCATATTTCCATGTTGTGTGTCGTTTTGTAGGTATGTAAGTATTTATTTATTGTATTTCCATGCCTCCCATTTATGGTGTAGGCTTAACCAATTATGCTATTACATACTTTGAAAACTAGCGTTTTTATGCTTTGTAAATGAAGTGCTTTGTGTCGACTCCGCCTTTTTT